TAGGGAGCCAACTTCGAACGCGTCTCAAATTTCCATCTAACGTCCAATTAAGTAGTTTTGGTGTCTTCACAAAGCTTTCTTCTAGGTCACATAAAACTCACAACAATGGTGTCCCAACTCATACACGAGTGCCAAAAGTCTACACCGACCACTGAACTATACTTAATGGACTTTAGAGGACCTGTGCAATGCACCTTACTCAACCAAAAACATATAAATTTGAATTTCACTATTCAACCCTAAATTTCACAAAACACAAGAGAGAGTAAAACTTTACACAAATGATTCATTTTTATTTCAAATCAATCAAATTACACATGTTCCTACTTGTATAAGTATTTTGGCCCTATCTAAGAGTTTACAAATTAAAACTCACTAATGTAGGGCACAAAACACACAAGTGTGACACAATATTTATGCAAGTAGTATAAAAATATTCAAGTGCATTTTAGTTGGCAATCAAGTCAACATTTATACACATTAAACGATAAAGAGAGGCATACAAAAGAATTACTCTATAAATCCTATGTCTTTGCGTGTTTTCCTTGACCTTGATTTGATGAGCTGGGCCTTAAAAATATTGAGAATTGAAGGGTGAGTGCAATCACTCAATAACAAAGTTTCACCTAATATATGCAATTGCATATCAATTGAAAACAAATGCAAATAGGAAAACACATACAAATATAGCACATATGATAAGCATAACCATAGCTAACAACGCTAACAACCATGTGTTCGGGCCTTAAGCACATATAATCACATTAAATGATAGTGCACATATTAGGGTTATAATAATATCAATCGTGTGCCCCTAACACATACCAAACTACAATAATAACAATCATATAGCTGAATTTAAATGCATGATCAAATGCTAACTTTATACCTTCCTGTTACCTCCGACGTGAAACCAGTAGCTGTTCGGTGGCTACGTCTTTCACGGACTAACCCAGCCTTTAACTTGTAAGAAGCTACCGGGTCAAAGTCAACTCACTCACTTGTGCAATTCAGTTTCCCCTAATACTAACAACTATGGGGTGTTGTACCCCTAATCTAGCCTCCTCATGAATCTGTAGAGACTAATTAGGTTTGAGTCCCTCATAGAACAAGTAGGACAATCCTAAATCAACCATGGGACACGAGCTATCTCTTAATTCCAACAGTCAGCGCCAAGGTGAGTTCTGGATTCAACGGTTACTGCTGATACCACATGAATTTAACCATCTATTCATCTCTCTAGGCGAACTCCTGCCTATGATTATGCCATGCACAATTCATATGTTTATGCATCCACTCAACTAATTCATGTCATATTAATTCACATGCCCATACTTATGTACTCCACATTATTCCACATATTGCATCACATTTAGCAATTTTCACAATATGCCATCAATCAAAAACAACATTACTCATGGATAGCATGCATAAGGGTTTCATTTTCAAAATCATTCCACAACTTCACAAGTTCAACATTTGCCAAAATTGCATCAATAGTTCAAAATATAAATTATGATTCAAATCAACTCATTTTCAACAAATAATCAATTAATATTCAACTATATAAATTAGGTTTCCCCAGTTATCTCAAACCTTTAAGAAATTAAAGGTTTGCCCCTTACACTAATCACTTTCAAAGCTTTTCTCAAGCTTAAATGGTGCCAAAAGAGTCACTCTAAAAACATTCCACAAGGTTGTTGTCATCATCATCTCATTCTTGAGACTTTATCCACATTAAACTCCACATTCTTTACTCTATCAATTTCATAATTTACTACCCATTCATACCAATGGGCTCACTAGATTTCATTGATCATTGATTTCAATGAATTAATAAACCACTATTAATAAGCCATAAACACATCTAACAATCTCATTTATTGCAATTTTCATATATTAATGGCTCCCTCAACTAGCCATACACAAAATCATTAAGGTAGGGATTAAATACTCTAAACCACTCCCATTATATTCATTTTAAATAATTGGTTTGAACTCATAACTCATATAGACTGAAAATTACTCTCCCAACTCAAATCCTAACTCAAATCCTCATAAATATGATAGATAAAGGAAGAGAAGGGCATAATTTATTTACCTTAGATGTTTGGAAGTCTCTAAATGTTCTTAAAGGTCCCGATGCACGTGCCTTAGCAGAGCAAGTCATGTTCTTCATTTTTCAATCTTCCTCCCTTCTGTTTTCACATGTAGAACACGAATTGATCAAATCTGATTTTTGATCATACACCACGGTGCACACAACCTCCCGCCATAGTGCATGGCATAGAAAGACCCAATCATGTTAATTTTATCTTTGTGCATTGAGGTGAATTGTCCACACATCATGGCATGTGACACAGAGAGCATTTCTTCACCTTTTCCTCTTCCTTCCTTACCTAGATGGCCCGACTTCACTTTAGACCCACATCTTTGGATGAAATCAAAAACACTAATTAGACCCTTCTATCCACACACCTCATCAATTCACTAATCACACACTCATTGATTTAATTAATTATGCTTAATTTTTTGGATGTTACACTTTGGAAATTACTTACAAATACCTAAAGTAAACACTTGCAGTCATGAATGCATGTTCTCAAAGGTGGAAAAAATTGAATAAACCTTAATAAAACTTGAAACCTTTTATCTCTTCACTCAATTCGATTTCTTTAATAACCCTACCTGACCCAAGATTTCGGCCATCTACTATCATTGTCACCATGTGGCTTTACTTCTTCACTGACCTTGAGAACATAAGTTGCAATGACCTCATAATTACCCTAACCCCCTACAGCTACGACTACACTTATGCTCGATAAGTCAAGTTTACTAGACCAACATTCATCACTATCTTGACGAATGTCTTTCTCATTACCCCTTCTAATGAGCTTAGGAATAGAGCCACAAAATATAGGTAGCTCAAATTCTCTAACAATAGCTTTCTACCCAAATAATTCGACAGTGAATCGGTCATCACTTCCACCTATAACCAATGGCACATAAAAAAGTTAACATGATCTTTGTTAGTGATATTGTATACCAGGCCATGATCCATAGCTTGACCTAGGTTGAGACGTTCAACACCAAAATCATATGGGGCGAAATCTTTCTTGATAGCTTCATTGATTGCTAGTTGGTTTCTATTATCCAGTAGAGTTGTGATCATCATCTTTGCTGACCTTATAACAGTTGGGCTCTAATTTGGATGTGTCTATTTTAATAATGCCATCACACCACTAACATGAGGACAGGCCATTGAAATAGAAATGTCTAGAAAAATTTGTGAGCCATCATCATCACTATTAAGGTTCTCATCAAACTTCAATGTTTTATGCATTTTATCGACGTCCTCTTCATTTATTGTCAGTCTAGCAACTTTATTCTGTGTCACTTTTGTAGTCCTCCACTCTTGATTTGTTCCAATCTTCACATTATTCTTAGGTTTTTCTTTTTTATCTTCAACACTGTCATTTAATTTTGCCATTGTTTTTGCATTTATGTTACTTTTTGTTGTTGGTCGTCAAACTCGATCACAATTGAAACATGGTTCAGCATGTAAAATGGTTCACCCATAATGACCACAGGAGGGTGTAGGCACTAGTTGACAAGTAGAAAGAGCTTAATTGAAATTTCATGCATAATCTGAGATATGGTTTGCTTAATCTCAATGATATCATGAGTGTGTTGTGCTGATGTTTGCTGATTGCGTTGAAGCAAAGATGAATGTATTTTCAAACAATGTTCGAGGGCCCCAATGCCTTCATTAGATTGGCTCTCCAGCAGAGCCACAGCTAAAGAGGAGGCTCTAATACCTTTGATAGAGGTAGAAGAGAAAAAAGGGGAGAGAGAGAAGAGGCAGAAAGGAAATAAAGAGTAAGAGAAAGAGACTATTCTATTCATAATGACCCATTATAACCTAAAAACTATTCATATATAATATAACTAAATACCCAACCACCCTTATATCCCTAATTAATTTTATTACTCCTAGTTTTCATGTATCAATAAATCACATAGTATTTTTTTGTCTCTCACTTTTCAAGGATTGTTTGGAAAATTTCAATTTGAAACAAATCAATATTATTAGCCAGTGATTTATAAAATGAATTAAATTATGCTTTTAGAAAGTGTATAATATACAGGAGGAAATAGTGTTTATCCATAGACCTAGTAATTATGAAATGGTCAAAGCACGGTTCAAGAAAAAGGGCATGGAAAAGGAATAAAATTCTTGCACATCAAAAATAAAATCTTATTTTGATGATGTAACAAGTTTTCCATTCTTAACTTTTCTATATATATTTAACCAAACAGGCCGCATATATCTTACATAAATATCATAAAATCAGAGTAAGGAATTTCTCATGATTTTTCTCGCACACAACAAACCTTGGAATTTGGAAAAAGAGTTCAAAAATATTTATTACAATAATAATATTTTTCTCAGGACAAAACTAAGAATTAATAAAATATTAATATATAATTTAAATCTTGAATTATAGGTTCATGGTCAATTTAAACACTAAACTCGTATTTGATATATTTTGAACCCTAAACAATTAAACTTAGAACAATTTTGCCAATTAAAACAAATGTCTATGTTTTTTTTAAAAAAAATGGATTTAATGTGTAATTTTTCTCAAAGAAATGTAGAAGGAAAAGAGAGTAAAATTTAAGAAGGACGGCATATCAAGCCCACTTTTTTTTTTTTGGAAAGTAGCAACATTTGTTTTAATTTAATGGTGGTGGCAAAACTATCTCAAGTTTAATTGTTTAGAGTTCAGAATATATCAAATAAGAGTTTAAAGTTTAAATAACTCTATGTCTGTAATTCAAAATTTAAATTATATATTAACCCCATTACTAAACAATAATAATAAGGATATAATAGAAAAAATGTTAATAAATGATGCTTTAGACTTCTAAAAAAAAGTATAGATGAATAAATTCTTTTTCCCCTAAAAGAACTCATTATGAAGCAGACGAAGTAAAAGAATATAAAGTCGAATAGATTTCTCTACAAAGTACAAACCAAAAAGCTCAAAGCTCACAGTTTGATGCTCTCTAGACAATCCAATCTATACATGGATGTAAACAGCAGGACAAAAAATCGATGAACATATATATATATATATATATATGAGCATGCATGCTCAAGAAGAGCAGCATCCAGCATTCTTCACAGCTGATACATCATCACGAGACCCAACATTAATGGTCTGTCCCTTAGGCAAAGCCGAGGGATCATCCCCAATATCAAGTGCCTTCTTGCTTACCACACGATATATCTGAGACAGCACTTCTGTGAACGCATTCTCCACATTCATGGACTCCAGGGCTGATGTCTCCATGAAGAATGTGTTCTCTTGTTCTGCGAAAGTGGTGGCGTCTTCGACGGAAACCGCCCGCAAGTGGCGGAGGTCAGCCTTGTTGCCGACTAGCATCACCACAATGTTGGCATCTGTGTGACCTCTTAGCTCCTTCAGCCACCTCTCCACGTTCTGGAATGTTACATGCCGCGTAACGTCGTACACTAGTAAAGCTCCCACGGCTCCACGGTAATATGCACTCGTGATTGCCCGGTACCTTCATTTAATGAAGAAGCAAACTTATATATATATATATATATAGCTGAAAAATCAATAACATATATACATAATCATCGTGCAGATTCAGGTCATGCTAAAATGTGAAGGTGTCTATGGATTTTATCTAAGTATTACTTTCTTAATTTATAAAGGAAAATCATAATTATTAGTTCATATAATTTTAAAGTGTTTTAATATAGGTTCTTATATATATATTTTTTCCATTATTTCATGTCCCCCTAATTTATCCTTTTTACAACATTAGCCCCCTCAAAATTTTTAATATGCCAAGAAAAACAGTGAAATGACAATAACAATATTGAATATGTTGACATATGACTAATGCCATTAACATGTGCTGAGTTGAAATTATAATTCAGGATACTAATAGCATTGATCACCAAGTCCTTTCATGTTTCATATTTTAATCTGTTGAATCGTAATTCTATCTCAACACACAAATCAATGTATATAACATTATTAGTGTTACCTTATGGTTCTTTTTGAATATATTTAATAATATAAGGACTAAAACTGATGATAAATTAAAAGGAACTAAAACAACGATGAAAATTACAAATATTTATAGCAAAACATGTTAAAACCACGTGAACCAATAGTTATATTTTTCCATTTATAAATGCTGTTTTAGATTCTGTCTTCTTTCTTGAAAAAGAGACAGGAGAACAAAAAGTTTGTTTGTTCCTTGCACCCAAAAAAAAAAAAAATTTGTTTAATTGTTTCGATCGTGCTGACTTTATCAAATAGAAGGACACCTATGTGTAATAAACAAAAGTTATATTGCTTGATATCATGTAATATTAGCCGTTAATAAATCTGATCTGACAATGGCCCCCCTATAAATAAAGAGTTTGATCATAATTATTAATCCTCAAACTAATGACTTATTACAAATTAAACATCACCATCAACTTCGTTTCCTGTCGTGATCATCTTAGGGCAAAACTTGAGAAATAGCAAGCTAATCTTGCAATTACAGATCATAAATCAGGTGAAATCGTAATTAGATTATTTCATTCAACAATGCGTAATGGCCACAAAATCACAATAGCAGATTTAATCTTGTAAGGGTAATCTTCGCGTCATATCAACGCCACAATACAAATCGCTATAACGCCAGGCTTCTCTCATCTCAACGCAATATTTCATTATCGAATGCGAGAGTAAAATGGTGTGATCGAGGGCTAATTGACGAACCTTTCTTGACCGGCGGTGTCCCAAATCTGGGCCTTAACAACCTTGTCGTCGACGCGAATGCTTCTGGTGGCGAACTCGACCCCAATGGTGGATTTGGATTCGCGACTGAACTCATTCTTGGTGAACCTCGAGAGAAGGTTGGATTTGCCGACACCGGAGTCACCGATCAACACAACCTTGAAGAGATAATCGTAATCGTCTTCAGCTCTATACGCCCCCATTGCCCATACACGCTTTTTTTTCTGTCAGGCTAGGGGGAAAATTGAAGGCTAACCAATTTTTGATTGTTTCCACATTTTCTCGGAGATTCAAATGGGCCCCTCCCCTGAATTCTCAAATCTGAATCCTCTATGTGGGGATTTCAGATTTGGGATTCGGACTGTGTCAAACCTACCCAACATTTTAGCTTCTAACCATGCATTTTTAATAACAATGTTATTTTTAACTTTAAATTAATAATTCTTACACCAAACAAACGGGATTCACGTGCTTGTGTGATACTTTCTTATTTCAATCAATAAATACATAAGTTAAGGAATCCAATTTACAAAATTATGATGAGTTCCTTGTGTGTGTATCTTATTACTCATTAATATAAGATTGCTACTTTTTTAATTAACTTTTGGTATCCAGTGTTAATGGAGGTATACATAGATTTAAGTATTATTCACCTTAAATACAAATAATACTTAAATAAAAAAAATACTATAATTCCTAGCATAATTTTTTTTTAACAAGATTCGAATATAGTTATTTAAAAAGTGTGGAGTGCTTCTGCTCGATTAATCCTTACTCCTTCCATTCAAAAATATAAGGCATTTTTAACTGAATTTACCCTTATTATAATAGTTACTTATTTTTCAACTAACCTTATCTTTTCATATTTACCCCTATTAAACACCCTATAATAAATATAAAGTCATTATCAAGAGGGGCAATTTTGAAGAAAAGACAATGATTATATCTCAAAGACTAAAAATATATTACATTTTTAAACATTCAACTCCTCAAAAAGCACTTTATATTTTTGAATGGAAGAAGTATTTTTTATTACTATATTATTTGGTAAGAACAAATATCTTTGGAAAAAAATTGCTTTAATTAGGAAAGCTTCCTTCCTATTAAAAATCCACTCGACTTAAATATAAAGTGGTTAGTACTCACTAGCTAGTATCAAAAATGGATGGTTTGTCACCATAAAAGCAAGGTACTAAAAATTGGATTGAATTGATCACTAAATCGATCGAGCCACCAGGTCATAAGTTAATAGTTCAATCGAAGTTAAACTTAGGGCCAACTCAAAAGGCAAACCTATCATGATTAAAAGAACACTATTTAAATAAAAAGACATTAATTATGAAAAATTCAACCAAATCCAAGATTAATATCTAATACAAGGTATAAATACAAAATAATTATAGAAATACAACTATTCAAAAGTCTAATAATAATAGAATACAACATTCTTAATATTCTTCCTTACAATTACAACCCTTCAATAATTAAAAATTCTAAAACTAATAATTACCAACACCAAATTCATTATTAACTTCATTCAAATCTCTAGGCACTGAAGCATTAGGAGTTGAATGAGAAAAACTAAAACCATTAGCAATATTATCAAGCAATGGGGGCTACGAAACATTCATATGTTCATTACCTACAACAAACAAGAATTAATACTAATGAATGTGTGAAAAAATTGACAGAATTATAATATTATATACTTGTATTAGAAACGTGATAGTAAATTTAAACCTTTAGAATTCATCTCAAGAATTGATAGAGCATCCATGATTTCATCCAATAGGGATTCAAGACTCAGAGGACCCTCTATTATTCAAAGGCCAAGACTTAAAGATTGAATTCATTTTCTAAATTATTTTTTAGTCTTTTTTTTAATTTTTAAAGTTAAGTTAAAAAAATTAAAAAACTGCCCAAAAAAGAGTTTTTTAGAGTTTTTTTGGAGGTTTTGGCAAAAACAAAAGTGACCCAATCAATCCAACATGCCCGTTGAGTCGCCCTGAGGTGGCCGGGTTAATCTAGGTCATTGCTAGATAGACTAAATTAGCTAGAAACTTGAACCGACGGAGAGGTCGGTTCATGGGTCAACCCACATGGTTCTGGTTTCCATTCTATAGTGTGGGAGATGTATTATATAATTAGTGATATTTGAAATCGTGTTAATAAAAAATCCACACATTATTAGTCTTGGACCTATTAAAAAGTAGGATGAAATAAAAAAAATAATTCCTTTATTTCTATTTATATGATAGAGAAAAAAATTCTTTTTATATATATAAGTTATATTAATTAATTTTTTTCACAAATTTTTTTAAAAATATTATTAAAATATATATATTTAATAAATATTTTCTCTAGTTTTATTTATAAAACATGTTTTAGAAAGTTTATTTAATTTCATTTATAAGTCACAATTATATCTTTTTAAATAATATTTAAAATATATTTTTAAAATCACCCTTAATGAGAGAGAAAAAATAACGTGGTATTACTTTTTAAATTTATTGTATAGAAATATATTTAAAATTTTACATACTTTTATTTTTTTATATTGATATTGATAATGTTAATAGAAATAATTTATAAAAAAATTTATTAAATTTTTAGGCATAATTAATAAATTTTAAATTTTTTTATTATAATAAAATATATTACAAATAATTTATAAATAAGAATGGAGCAATAAGATTATAATAGTGAAGATGTTTGGATAATTAGTTAATGATGAGCATGATATGGTCACTTTTGTGAACATATTACAATAATCGCCAATACCAAGAAACCCAACAAAAGAACATGAAGGTGACTGTTCCTTTACCTACACCAAAAGCGAAACATGTAAAATGAGTAATTCAACATGCGTGCGTGCGTGTGGTTGATAGTTCAAGCAGAGAAGATCATATAAGAAGATAGTCAAGAAAACTCTGCTTCATCTATCCAAATCAATCGCTCTCGGCCGAGTCAAGTCGACCAGACGCGTCAATCCGAACGCAAAAACTGTTGTCATCGAACAACACGTTATCCACTGTAATATAATATATACTCCATCGTCTAATTCGTCACCTATATATACCCTTTTTTTTTTTTTTTGACCAGCCATCACCTATACATACAGACACACTTTTATGTGCAGTGAATATGTGTATATGTCACCTTCTAGGGGTCAACGAGACAACACTTTCTTTCATCGCCAACTTCTATCCGATCGCTCCTCCTCGGAGCAGTAAAGCCACGCTTCGACATGATTATTCTCACAGACAACATGGGCTTTCATTATTAAATGACTTACAGTGAGTGGGGTTTCTTCTCCATACAGAAATCCACATCCGTACACGCTAGTTTTGGATTAAAGGATATATGTCTAAAAGGTTTCAATTAAATCAAAACATATGGCAGCTGTTTTTTTAATGTGCCCTGGATATCTCAATGGTTGAATCTATACTCAAATACTCGGAAGATTTATAACTGGATATTTGGATGGTTCGTGTTTTTTTAATTTTTCTTAGTACTTGCAGTTACTATAGTCAGGTACTTTATTATTTTCCGCGCATAAAATTCGCATCCGGTAGATATAAATACGGATCGATGCCACATAAGCTTTACATGTCTGCAACGTTATGGCAGAAAGCAACCTAGGGTTGGCAATCAGGTCAAAAAAGCCCAGAGCTGGCATCATACTACAAGACAAATATGAAATATCAATGAATAGTACTGACTTCAAATGAATATTATATATAGCAAGCTGCAACCCCAAACCAGGCAGAAAATGAGAAAATTATACCTTACATATTTAAAGCAAATGTTTTTTTCCCAACACATACACGTACATATCATTTTAGAATGATTAAGTTGAAGTTCTCACAATACATAAAATTAAATATCTCATGTTTATTGATAACTAATTATCAATAAATCTTATGATATTTAATTATATTGGAAGAGATTTTGTTATACTTTTTTTTTTTAAAGAAAAATACACACTGCTTTTGGTTTTCTAGTAGCAAGGTAATACTGCATCTTCACTGGTCATTATTGTCATCCCCATAGAGCAACTCAAAGTCTCAAACCCTAACACACAGGGACACGTACGTACAAAAAGATCGAGATCGAACACAGTTCATATAGGACAGGAAGAGAGAGAACACCACATCTAATTAAATCCCATTTTCTCCTCCAAATATTTCTTCCTTCCAAATCTGCAAGGTGAGAGAATGAAGAAACGCAAAAAAGAAAATTTCAACAGCCCTTAACTTATGAGACAGCCAAATATAACAAGAAAAGGAGTTTCACAATAACGTGCGCACCAGATAATAAAATGCGCCGTGCTGGAGAGGCTGGACAGTGATGCCCCATTCGTCGACTAGCACCGGCTGACCGGAGGCGTGGATGAGCACGGCATCATCGCCGAAGGCCTCCCGCAAGTTGAGGGGTCCCATACCCACTTCAAATGCGACGTCGTTAATGAACACCGTGGATTTCATCGTACCTCCAGGTGGGCCCTCTTCCGTCCCTGCCTCACACCCCAAACCAGATCGTTCCATTAGCCATCAAAATAACCTAACCATGCACACGTTCATACCAACACAAGCAAACAAACTAAATGAAAGACCTTGAATCTGCGAGATGGGTGTTGGGACAGTAGTGTGAGTGGCCGGAAGGTGTTGTGGGATTTGCATAACCTTCTCTTGGTCAGTCTTGGAAGGTGAATGGATCATGATTTCGTTCAGCAGAAGACTAGTGCAAGACCCAACATTGATTTGCTGAGCATGATCACGAGGACCTTCAGGTTGAGCCACACCTGATAGTTCAGAAAGGCAAAACCCTTGTGTAGTATTAGGAACAGGAATAGCATTAGCCAGAACTCCTCCACTCTGCAGCTGCAAAGGAAAGAAGAAAGGCTGGGGCGGATCAGAAGAAATGGGAACTACAACATCTGAAGGGACGTTAGAGAAGGAATTGATATTATTAGACACTAATCCCTTTGTGGATGGTATTATGATTTCCTTGGGATCAGAGGGATTGGAAAGGTTTTGGGTTTGATGGGCGTTATCAGAAAAGTTTTGGTTTTGGAGGTGACGAAGCTTGTGCTTGGATCTGGATTTACGGTTCTGGAACCAGTAGAAGACATTGGCATCACCGACTTGGCCATACTCTTGAAGTTGGGCTCTGATCTTCCTAATCTCATCTCTTGGAGGGTTCACCATCCCTGAGTTGAAGATGGCTTCCAGTATACGAATCTGCTCTGGTTTTGGGTTCCATCTCGGCTTTGGCTCTGCACTCCTCTCCTCTTCAACTCCTACTACAGACCCAAATGTGTACATAAATGTAAGTTAAATTAATTTGGAAGCTTATCAATTATCATATATTAAATATTAACAGTGTTAAACTTGATTACAAACCTGATGTGTAAGTGGTTCTGTGGCAGCTTGAAGGTGAGATTAAAGAGGAGGATTTGAAGCTGTCGTGCTTCCATTGATGGTGGTGGAGGGAGTTGCAAGGCTTGGACTTGAACATGCTTGGCCAGTGTCTGTTAGAGTTATTAGAAGAAGCCATGATTGTTGAAGACGATCACCGAACTGAGGTCTGAATATTTAACCCAAAGAGAGAACCTAATCTGTATCAGGAATAGCTTGCCCTTTTGTTCCTCAAGGCTAGCTAATAACTTCCATCATAATCTCTTAGATATATATACTCACTCTTGACTTATCCACCTCTGGCTGTTGTCCTTGATCTATTTTATCAGTTATTTAAGAAGTCACCTATAATTTAAGCAAGTGAAAAATCAGAAACAGGAAAGAGATATATAATTAAATGAAAAGGAGAACGGAGACAAGAAAAAAGTACCAATGCTACCCATTCCCTGCTCTTCCTTTTCAATTACCTTTGCATTAATAGATATCGAGGGAAAAGCAGGTTACTGTAAATTAAAAGTAGAAGGGAATTGCCTCAGGACGAGAAGCAAATAGAGCAAGGAAAGGGAAATATGCTGGGGACTGAATTAGGAATCTTGGCTTCAGAGAGATGGCAGAGAAAGCTGTAATAAAAATGGAAGGAGAAGCTTTTTTCAGAAGAGGGTGGGTTTCTGATGAGTTTGTCTCTCTTTTCTTTTTAACTTCCAGATTCTCGTGTTGCTGGCTTTGCTTAGCTCGTAGGTGTATTAATGGTGGGGGAAGAGGCGGGAAGAGAGAGATTATTCTAATGGAGGAGATTGTTGATGAAGAATAAATAAGGATGGTTTCAAAGTCAAGAAGAGAAGAACGGGGATTTATAAGGTTTGATTGGAAATGGGTAGGAGAGTTAGTAATTGCATGAGACTGAGTTATTTTGAGTTTTGGATTGACTCGAGGGATCTTTATTGATTTGTAACTCTATTAATTAAGCTTTTGCAGAATTTCATAACACCACCGATGAATTAATTCTCTATCTCAATCCAATCCAAGTCAAAGTTAATTAATTAATTAATTAAAGAATCTGAAAACTCACCTCAAAAGTATAGTTCTGACACGCGCGCGTCAACGAGTCTAGATACGCCTCAAGTTAATGTATTTGGACTTTAACCCCCACATACAAACCCTTCACTCTGCCTGAATACATTTGGTGTATATGTATCTTGATTAAGATTTCATTCGATATGATGGTGAAAAAGAACAAGAATTTTTCATTTGATAATGGTAATAGTTAATAAGATAAAAATAAAGAAGATATATAGTGACAAATGATCATAGTATTCCCAAACCAAAATAAAAACTACTGCCTCCTATTCTGAGTACATAAAATCTTTTTAACTAATTTGTAGTGATTTTTTGTTTTGGCATTTTGCTTTGTATATATAATTAATCAACCTAGTATTTTTTTTTTTAATAAATTACAAGTGACTCTCTTTTGTAACGCTTTTGGGTAATGATATAATTCTTACACTAAAAAAATAGTAAGTTATTAGATATTTGAAATTAACATATGCAGAGAATTTGTGATGATTTTTTTAGAAATACTCTTAAAATTTAATTATTAAAATCTAATTCAAAAAATCGAAAAATACCTCAATAAATAAGGTATTAAAGACAAGAAAATTTTAATACGTAAGAGATAAGAAAATGAAACTTCCTATTTAGAATCACACTATAATGCTTGTATTTGATAATTATATTAAAACAAACGCATACATCTAGGTTGACATTAAGGAGAAAATTTGTCTTTTCATATCATTTTCATCTTTTCATCATCCTCAGGGGGCCAATTTGTCTTTTCCCCTTGGCCACCCAATAACATTCCTTCTGCTTTTTGGATGGAATAATCGGAACCATATTTAGCCCATCCCATGGCCATCACCTCCATTTTGTTTCCACCTTATTGGTTATAATTAGTCATAATTTGTCTCATGCTTAACATAAGCCAGACAAGTAGCTTTGTTTTGTCTTTTCTTTTTCCCCTTGACACATTCATGCGTGTCGCAAAGTGCATGTTGTGTGATGTTGATGTCAAACAACACGCGCTGTGCGTGTGAGAGAGAGAGAGTTGGGGGGGGGGGGCTTAATACATGAAGATGGTAAACTGAGTCAAAAGATTGGGAATCAAAAGCATTAATGAATAGCATATCTACAGATTTTGACATATGACGTTCTCTGATCTGTGTTTAGGGGGAGACAGACAGGAAACGAGACAGAAGTGGGACTAAAATCGCATCAAACAAGTTTAGAAACTGAAGTAGGCCTTCCTGAGAACAAGTCCAAACTTGCTCTTCGGCTTCTGCTTTTGGCCCTTTGCCCATAATTCCTTAGTACTTTCACACACTACACAGTTCATAAGTTCACAGTAAAGTGCAAATATTGGGCTTGGGTCATTATCATGAAGACGAATAAATCAGTCCCTTCCGTACGACTAACCCATTCCTTTCTATTCATTCCCCCCTCTGCGACATTATTGGTCTCTTCCTTTCTACTCTACAGCCCCATCCTCTGCTTTGCTCATGCCCACGTTTACATTTATTGTTTCCATGACCTTTCTTTTAATCTTTTCTTTTCTGATTCTCTATTCCTTTTTCTGTTCCTACCGTTTTGTCTGCACCAAAAATGACACAAACATAATCTCTTCAACTCTCTCATTCTTATGTTGCTGCTTGCTAGCTTCTCCCTCCCTCCCTCCCTCCTGGACTACCGCCTCAGTGTTAGTTTGATTTAGTTTGCACATGATATCAATAACTAATGTGTTTGGTGAGAATCTAAAGCAGCATGAGATGGACATGGGTGATGCAGCTTAAGTTGCGCTTTCACTAAATGCTAATGTGCCTGCAATTAATATTCAACATGCAATATATTGAATGCTTAAATTTTGGTGCACGTGACTGCCCCATACATGTGTGTGTGTGTGCGCGCGCGCAATGACTATTTTCTTGGGCATTTCACGAGAGATGGTGTAACTTTTATATTGCCACTGCAAATTTTGCCCTCTCCTTAAACGATGGAAGTGGAAAATTTAAGAAAATATAAGTATCTAATCTTGATCTTAAGTAGATTCATGAGACGAGTTTCCAAAAAGAGAACTTCCAAGTACAGAACAAGAGAAATACAAGCTGCTAGGAACTGCAGGATAACAGTTTAATTTAACTAAGGAGGACTAATCATTATTGAGACGAATTCCTTCCTCAGGCAAATATTCAAAATCACAAGAAATTTTTTTTTTTATATATTTAGAATCACTACCATGATAAACAAAAAAAAAGATAGGGTTTCAAATTTGTTTGTATGGGAGAGTCAAAAAAGCTGAAACAAGAATGAGCAAGTCCTTCTCTTGGGTTGTTTCCGCTTTGGCTTTAATGGCCTCAAAGCGGCCTTGATTGCAGCATCAAAAACTGTCTTCACGTTCTGAAACCAGAAGTATAAGAAAGAATAAAGCAACACTCTTCTTTACAAGTTGAATGCACTGTGTTTTTAAGATGCCTTTACCTGTTGTGTTTTGGAGCTGCATTCTATATATGCTACTGCCCCTATCAGTTTCTTGAGTTCTTCACCCTGTTCATACCAGCCATTTTGAATCCAGAAGAACTCTCAGAGATTTTATATTATATATATATATATATATGAATGAAAGTTTTGGAGATGTCACATGCCTGGGCAGTGGTTATTGGAGTGGCTCTGGATGATCCTTCAGATATTGCTTGTCATCTCGCAAATCTATGGGCAAAAGTAGAAGGAAAATCAGTATAAGTTTTGAAGGCAATGAGTTGAAGAAAAGTGTTACAAGATTTCGATCGGGTATAGGTTTATCCTTCACTTCCTCTGTTTCTGCCATGGGGTATAACTGGGATAATTCAGAAAGAAAAATTGTGTTTGCACTGTACTAAACATAGTGCTATTATTCTTAATTACTGGATATCACCAGCTATTAGTTTTACCTTGTTAGTTCTTTTATGTATATATTCCATGTCTACACTTTTGTGACAAAGTATTGGCTTATAGAATCCCAAATATGAGGTATTTCAATGTCTGTACTTTTGGACCAAGACTTTTTGAAATTCTTATGTGATATTTAATGCATATGGGGGAAATGTTTTGTTCTGCTGGGAGGTGAAACAGAACAATATCATCACTGTATAATTACTATTGCTTACTTTGGTGAAACCATCTTACCTAGTTTTGTTCCAACTAGCACAACAGGCACATTTGGAGCATAATGTTGCAGCTCAGGTATCCACTGTCAGTCAAAGGATCCAACAAACACCATCAAGACAGTAAAAGTAAAATTGTTGGTGATAGTAATCTGAGAAGAAACATAATTATTTTACAGAAGAAGTGGTTAGAGACTTGTAAATAGAGAGAAGGAGAAGAAAAGGAAAGGGAATTGAAAAAAAACCTTCTTGGAAATGTTCTCATAACTGGCTTTGCTTGTGAGAGAGAAACACAGTAGAAACAGATCAGCTCCTCTGTAACTCAAAGGCCTTAGCCTGTTTGTAATCTTCTTGCCCTGTAAAAATCATAAACTTTGACAATCACCATTCACCATCATGTAATAGAATTCATCCAATTTTCAGAGCCATCTCAGAAACCTACCTGCAGTGTCCCATAAGCCAAGATTCACAGAACTACCACCATCCACCATCACAAGCACTGAAGTTATCAAACACGTTGGAAACGTAATCCTACCAATAAAAATAAAAACCACTAGTCAGCTTCATTACTGGCTCTTTCAAGTTTCAAATCTGATTCACTTGCATATTGAGACACACAAAACTAAGGAAACATACTGTTGGGAAGGTGTTGTTGCTGGTGTAGGATATAAGCATGCAGGTTTTCCCCACAGCTCCATCTCCAAACTGTACACACTTGATAAATCTGGTAGTGATCATTGTCTTATCTTCTTCTTCCTCTCTTATGATCCTGAATGAGAAAAAAATGCAGTGTACTTAATGGAGAGTTAGAATACTAAAATGCTCTGAATATTTGGATGTGAAAGAAGTGGAAGGAGAGTCTTAAGTCTTAAACAAGCCAGCAAGTGTTTCCTCTAATGATGGCACTAACGTGTAAAGCTTGTGTTTTCTTCAAGTGCAAGGACAATAACAGAGAGGCTAACAAGAGAAAGTAGGTATGGAGATGGTGTTAGTGGTT